GATACAAATAAAGCTCAAAATTAGATTAGTACAATAAGCTAACTTGGATCTTTAACTCAAGGCGATTAGACCTTAAATCAAAGAGCACCAAGCTCTGATACCAATTGTTAGACCCTAGAGGAGGGCTGATTAGGGTCTTATGCTAATCTAATCCGATTAAATGCCAATTAAAATTAATTAACAAATTATTTTTGCAAGAGAGATATTCAATATGTTACAAGCAAGAATAAGCAATATGAACAAAGGTAAATATCCTAGCAAAGAGATATACTATGAGATATATGCAAGGATATATAAACAACACAAGGGTAAACAAAATGAACCAAATAGTGGATCATATAAATAATGAGCTATGGACAATGACGATATAAGATATGAACATAAATATAAATGAACGCCAAAGCACACTCAAACAAGCAATATGATCACGGAGTTCGGACCTTCCGTCCTACGTCTCCGCTCCCCACTCCCGGGGAGAAATCCACTAACACAATCCGGTTTGGAAGCCGGAACTTCTTCTACACACTCGGTTTTCTAGCTAACCGAAAACTCTACAACTCACACTCTTGCAATCACACTCTACACCCACTAAGTGTTGGACCTAGCCGTGTCTCCCTCAAGTGCTCGGTTACAACCTCTCCCTAGGCACGTCAACCGACGCCACTCCTCTTGGGACGATCCCCGACTCTCACCACACACTCCTCACTCGGTGTACAAGAGTATTACAAAGTGATTTAACAATTAAGCACAATATAGCAAATGATTGTTCTCTCTAACAAGGTGAGAACTCAATTAGGCTCAACTCAATGTCACACTATCCCACAACCCAATTATATAATGTATGCAAATACAATAAGCTCAATGGTTGTGTGTGCAAACAAAGAGTAAATCAAATCAAACTAAACTCAATATAAAACTAGCTTTAATAGAAATGATAATCAACAAATAATTATAAATAAAAGCTAGACTTGAGTTTAGGAAAACTTCTCTAGATCAAGATGGAGAGATGGAGATATGAAGCCCAAACAAGAAGATGATCTCCTCCACTTGTGAAAATAATCTTCAAACCAAACAAACACTAAAACTCACTTAAACCCTTGTTTAAAACTCTTTAAACTTGTTTAAAACATTTCTTGAGTTACCTTAGAGGTATGAGGGCATGGGGTATATATAGGCTCATGAAACAACCCCAAAAACCAATAAAAACACCCCCAAAACATTAAAATAAACAAAAAAACAGAACTAGACATTACTGTAGCAACGGTCGGCTTCTACAGTACTTCGGTCGACCGGTACGGTCGACCGAGAGCCATCTGCAAAGCTGAGAAACGTCCAGAGACATTTCCGGTCGACCGGAGTTACTGTAGCAGTGCGCAGATGTTTTGTAAAATCAATTTAAAATAAAAACCTGATTTTAAAATGCTGTTTAAAAATATCAAATAAATTCCAAAAAATGTAAAACTTTGGGGAATGATTGTAGACATGATAATAAACATACTACAGCGACTGGTTATCAGAAAGGACTTCCCAAATGAAAAATATCATTATTTTATAAAATAGTCCAAAACATGAAAATGTAAAGACATGAGAATTTTGATATTTTGGCTAAACCATGTTTTGAAACTTTGCACAATGGTTATATAGACTTAATAAAATATGTATATGATTATTGTTAAGTCCAAAAACAATGAATACCATATTTTCACAAAATTGCATATTCTATGCAATATATACAAAACACTAAATATGATTTCATTAAATATAAGCTTGTTAAAGAGGAAATCATATGTAGGCATATAAACATGAAACAAAATAGTATTTTCCAATCCTATTCATTTGTTTCATATATAAATTCAAAACCTATTAAACCAAAAACATATATGTATATATATATAACTGTATATATACAAAACCAAAAACCAAAGTGTGTATGTGTGTATATGATTGAGCTTAAAGTACTAACACACATAATATAAAACCTAAAACTAATTTACCCAAGCTTGATCTAGATCTTCATTGAGCTCAACTTGGTACACGTTGCGGATGAAGCTTGAACTTGATCTTTAACTTGAATTGTATGTTGCTTCACTCCACAATTCCGCCAACCTCCTTTGGATATGATCGTTGAAGCTCTATTCCATCCATCCTCCAACTTATTGTTTGTCTACAATAAATAAGAAAATACAAACACTAGACAAATAATATTAGTAGTAAATTGTTTGTTAAACATCATCAAAACAAGAAGGCCAACACTCCCCTCGCCGACTTCTCGTCCTCCATCTCCACCACCCGCCCCCTCATCCCCCTCCGCCGCAGCCGACCCACCACCTACCCCAC